GAGCAGGGACAGACAGGTTAGGAGGGGACGTCAGGGCTGGCCGTCTGTGGGCTGGTGGGGCAGGGGCTCAGGAGAGGTGGACGGAGCTCAGGACCCAGGTTCAGGAGTGATGAGCCGGAGACCAGGGCCAAGTTATGCCTGCTACGACAGATGAGCTGGTCAGGCAAAGGTCCGGCTGGAACAGTGCCTGCCACTTGCGGTTTCTCTTTAGGCAACCTTGCCCCCGCCCCCCGAAAAAGAGGAATCAGTGGGGGAAACTCTTTTTCCAGTACTTCCTAAGTGGCCATCATTTGCCAGGCAGGAAGCACCCAGCTCTGAGCACACGTCCAGGCACACATGGCTGTGGTGATTGCCGGTGTCCCACAGGTGTCAAAGACAGAGGGACACCCAAGGAGGAGGCAGTGTTTCTGCTGAGACCTGCAAAAGGGGCAGAGGCAGCCACAAAGGATCAGGAAGGGCAGCTCGGGTGGGGGTTGTGGCAGGTACCAGAGGAGTGTGACAGGGACCTGGCTGGCAGGCAGATGTCAGAAAGCAGAGCTTGCAGGGTGAGGGGAAACTCATTGAGGCTCTTGAAGCTGCATCTCCGAAAGTCCCACGGCCACGCCGAGGATGCGTGCTGACGCGGGTGTGGTGGTGATGATGCCCGCCCTCCCAGCGAGACTTTGTGTATGGGGTGGGCACCAGGGTTGAAAGTGTGACAGATTTGTCACTTGTGAAATAAAACACACAGGCTTCAGTACCATATGGTTTCTCTTACATGAGAAACCCTAAGTGTCAGTAATGTAAATGGCCAACCAGAAGCTGGACACTGAGAGCTAGATCTTTTGCAGATGGCAAAGGGACCTAAATAATTGAGGTGTGTCACAGGCACACACCAGGTCTCCACAGCAAACACACACGAAAACGGAAGTGGGAGCCAGCAGGGTTTGGTGTGGATGGTGGCAGGAATAGGAAGCAATGTGCGCCCATGGACTCCCATTCCCATGGAATGCTTGGGGCAGCATGCGGCGCTCTGAGAACCCGGAAAGCACGCGGTCCTGGAGGGTGGCTCGGACACGCATGCGTAGTGAGATCACGGGCTCCGAGGCGGAGCTTCCCTGCACCCCACGCACCCCGCCCCTGGCCTCAGCAGTGCTCTCTGGTCCCCAGCTCATCATCCACGGCAGCTTTGCTCTGATCCAACCGCCGCGCTTCCACCTTTTCTTCTTGGTCCCCGCGCTCTTCTACGCCGGAGACAAGCTGGTGAGCCTGAGCCGGAAGAAGGTGGAGATCGGCGTGGTGAAGGCCGAGCTGCTGCCTTCAGGTACCGGCCTGGAGGCTGTCAGGGACCAGCTTGGCAGCAGAGCGAGAGCCTGGCCCGGCAGAGGGACCTGGTGGGAAGTGCCCTTTGCCAGGGGCCCGAGGCGCAGTGCAGACAGCGGAGGAGCCCAGGCTAGGCGCCCCTGCCCTCCTGTCTAGGTCCTGGCTGGCAATGGGCCGTGGGCAGTCCTCCTGTATTCCAGAAGTGGAGCTGGGGGCTTGTTTGGGGGGCCCCGAGTGCACACCCCAGCTGCCGTCCCTCCCCAGGAGTGACCCACCTACGCTTCCAGCGGCCCCAGGGCTTTGAGTACAAGTCGGGGCAATGGGTGCGGATTGCCTGCCTGGCTCTGGGGACCAATGAGTACCACCCCTTTACACTGACCTCTGCGCCCCACGAGGACACGCTCAGCCTGCACATCCGGGCTGCGGGGCCCTGGACCACCCGCCTCCGGGAGATCTACTCGCCCCCTACTGGTGACAGCCCTGCCAAATACCCCAAGGTGTGAGGGTAGCCAGAGAGTCCCTTGGTGCTCCGTCCCCTGACACCAGCCTGGTTGCTCCTGATAATGCCACCCCTCCCCCGACTCCACCTCATCCCTGCCTCAGCTGCGACCCTGCCTGGCTTCAGAGCTGTGGTGGTGACCAAGCTGAACCCCAACCCTTGTCTTCCCACAGCTCTACCTGGACGGTCCCTTTGGAGAGGGGCACCAGGAGTGGCATAGATTTGAGGTTTCCGTGCTGGTGGGAGGGGGCATTGGAGTCACCCCCTTTGCGTCCATCCTCAAAGACCTAGTCTTCAAGTCATCCGTCAGCTGCCAGGTGTTCTGTAAGAAAGTGAGTATTCGCTACTGCTGCAGCCTGTGCCTGCTGCCTTGGGCCCCGCCTGGGCCCTTCTCACCTGATGCTATTCTCAGACCTGGGGTGGACAGGGGGCAGACGGGCTGGCCCCTGGGTCGGACTGGCCAGTGGCTCATGTCACAGCAACCCTGGCCCCTGAAGGTCAGAGCCGGCTTGCTGATGTGTGCAGGGTCTTTCCTTTGGTCAGAAAGGATCATGTAGAACTCACCTGTGAGAGGCCCCAGGTCACTGCAGGCTAGGAGCCAGCAGGGCACACCTGGGGTAGGGCTGGGTGGAACCCGCTCAGCTTTGGGCGGGACACGAGGTGGTGTGGCGGGCCAGCCTCTCCGCTACTGTGAACCCCTTCCCTCCGGCTGGGCCAGTGGCAGGCCCCTGCTTGTTTCGGGGTGGCAGATGAGTCAGGAGAGCTGGAATGAGTGGGCAGAGGCCCGGCCCACGTGTCATCAGCACTCACAGTGTGATGGTGCCCTTTCTCCCTCACCCATGCCACATGGGCAGCCTCCACGGACCAGGCCCACAGGAAGGTGCTGCCTCTCCTGCTGTGTGCTGCAGCTCCCGGAAGGTCCTTAGGCCCAGCCCCTCGCTACCTATTCCACCTCTTGCGCCTCAGAGCCTGGGACAGGGAACATGCATGTGCCATGTTGCAGGATGTCCCTGGAGAGGTCCAAGGAGGTTGGGTCAGGAGAGTTCCCTCTGGGTGGGGACACTGGAACATAGGGAGCCTGAGCTGAGCTGGTCCAGCACTCCCCGGCTGTCCCCAGATCTACTTCATCTGGGTGACGCGGACACAGCGGCAGTTCGAGTGGCTGGCCGACATCATCCGGGAGGTGGAGGAGAGCGACCGCCAGGACCTGGTCTCTGTGCACATCTACATCACGCAGCTGGCCGAGAAGTTCGACCTGAGGACCACCATGCTGGTAGGTGGGCGCCCACTGGCCTGCGGGCGGGGCAGGGAGCTGGCCCCGAGGCCGGGCTGTGACCTCTGCTCGTCCCTCCAGTACATCTGCGAGCGGCACTTCCAGAAGGTGCTGAACCGGAGCCTGTTCACGGGCCTGCGCTCTGTCACCCACTTCGGCCGGCCTCCGTTCGAGGCCTTCTTCAACTCCCTACAGGAGGTGCACCCGCAGGTTGGCCACGCTCCCCCAGGCTCGCTACTTTACACTCTGGGGTCATAAGCCTGCCCTGCCAGGAACAGAATGGCTGCAGCTCTGAATCAGTGTTCCCCAGACATGGTGCAGGGGTGGGGGGTAGGGGGTGTGGCAGTGATAAAAGATGGGGAGAGTGTCACACAGGGCTCTGAAGCCCCTGGCCCTATCAGAGAGGTCAGGCTGAATAATCCAGCTGTTCTTGGCCATCAACTCGGCCATGTTGTCCTTAGCACCCCGTCCCCTGCCCCCCCCCCACGGTAACAAGCAAGCCTTCCTCAGGGACACTGGGTCATTCCAGATGGTCTCTGTACTATCAAGGAGCTGGCCCTGCCCTGAACATGAGAGGCCTCACCACTCCCTCCTGCTACAGGTCCGGAAGATCGGGGTGTTCAGCTGTGGCCCCCCAGGCATGACCAAGAACGTGGAGAAGGCCTGTCAGCTCGTCAACAAGCAGGACCGAACTCACTTCTCTCACCATTATGAGAACTTCTAGGACCCCGCCCTGTGCCCAGCGGAGGTGTGGGCCCATTTCCAGCTTCTGGCTGTCTCTGCCCTCCCTCTCACCGCATAGCCCAGGTGGCTGTGCTCACTGGTCCAGTGTGGCCTAAGGGGCCCCCCGAGTGTACTCCAGCCTGCAGACACAGAGGAAACGTATAAGAACCTGGGGTGAGGGTGGGGAGCTGCTGGTTTGGAATAAAGTGAAACCTTTTCTCCTGGAGTACAGGAAACGAAACTAAAGGGGAGCAGTGTGTGTACGTGAGTGTGCGTGTGTGTAGGTGACCATGAGGCTGCAGATCAAGTGGGGCCACAGATGCTGGCATCTTACAACCCTACCTTTTGGGGTCCTGACAAGCAACATACAGAAAGCCCGCTAAGCCACACCTGACCCCTACCGGGTTGGATCCCATGCACTACCGCAGTCAGACCCTAGCCTACACCTTGCTGTGCAGCCCCAACACCCTCCACTCTTGCCCTGTGGACTCCTTTATAAATAAACCACCTTCCCACCTCTAGGCTTGCTTTATTCTGCCTGGGACAGGGTGAATGAAGGAAATGTCACATCAGGGTAGCCAGTCTCCCTGAGGGGGCCGGCACAGGGCCAGGCTGCCTTTCCTGATCAGGGCCTGGCCTGGCTTGAGCCGCAGATCAGGGGGTGCCAAGGGGGCGGGGCTCTGGGGAAGCCTGCCTGGCTGCTGTGGGACCTCAGCGTTTCCTGCCCTTCTGTTCCTTTGTGGAGCTTCCTCAGCGTGAGGGGCCAGGGACAGTGGCACCCACCGTGTGACCTCACCAGGACTACCTTCCATCTGCAAGCTCGGTCTCTCCTCTATACAGACAAGCCCAACTTTCCACGGCCCCACGAACCCCTACACCGTCCAGATCACACACACGCATTTCCCAATGCCCCTGGATGGAGTATTCTGACTCCCGCATCCTTGGGTACTGTCTACTCATTCGTGGGGTGGGCGGTGGAGCGGGAGGCGCGGCCACCAGGGGGCGCTCTCGGCCGGCTCGCGCGGCTGCAGGAGGTGACAGGACCATTAGCGCCCAGCAAAGCCCTTGCCAGACCCTTAATCTGTAGCCCCCCCCTTTCCGATTGCCCCCATGCTGCTGAATCCAACCAGGGACTCGCGACCCCTTGTCCATGCGGGGACTCCGATGCACCGAGCATCTTTCCGCAGCTGTGCCTGGCAGAATAGGTTTATTTTTCACCGCTGGCCCGCAGATGGGGCGCCGCGAGCGCTTTCCCCTGCAGACCCAAGGCAAAGGGAGGCAAGGGCAGGCAGGCGATGCCTCCACCACGGGTGGACACAAGGGACCAAGCTCCGGACCAGCCCTTGTCCCGGGTCCCAGACGCCTTTCCCTTTACAATAAATTAAGGAGTATGTGGCATCCACAGACCCCAGGGCAAGGGGATGCAAGGTGGCAGGAGCAAGTTCCTTGGGCCTCTCCAAGTCCCCAGGTCTACAGAGTCCGAATGGCCACGGGGTAAAGCAGGGACATGTGCTCGGCCCCCTTGATGGGCAGCTTGCGGCTAGCATAGTGGTGCACGATTTCTGGCACGCTGCTGAAGGGAGGGCTGTTCTGGCCCAGCACGTACTTGTGCTCCTTGGTGCGCGACAGCTTCATGTGCATGAAGCCCTGGCTGCTCCTGCAAGGGACGAGACACTCCGTGAGTGTGGCGGCCCAGGGTGCTCAGAGGGCCACCCCCAGCCCTCCAGGTGCCCACAGCACCCATGGCTGTAAAGCCAGCCAAGACCAGGAGGGAGCCGAGCAGGGCAGGTGGTGAGGTGGCGGGGGGGGGGCACTGGCGTGGGTGGTGCTTCAGAAACAACACTTCACCCTCTCAGAGCCTGGGCCAGCCCTGCCCCTCTAGCCAGCCCTGGGGGCTGGAGCGACATCATCCGGAAGATGCAGTCTGCTGCCCTGCCCAACTCCCTGTCCCCCCAACTTCTCACCCCAGGGCCCTAGAGTCTTGGAACCCTCAGCCTTGGGTGAGGACATTGTATTGAGCCTCTGCCCCCATGTGGTCTGCCAGAGCTGGGCAACAGCTGTCTGGAGGTGATCTGAAGCTTGCAAGGGCCAGAACCCACTTGGGAACAATGGCACGGCTTGGGGTCTGCCCTGAGCCCACCCATTCAGAGGCCAGGCTGGCACCTCAGCCCTGCCTGGCCATGAGGCCAGCAGGAGAGCAGCGGGCAGCTAGAGGGGGTAGCTCCACTCAGGAGCCTGGCAGCCCTGGGAGGAGGCCGGGTTAGCTCAGCGCGAGCAGCATCTGCACAAATGAGATAAAAGCCTGGGGCTGGCACTGACGGCCCGTGGGCAGCCTCGAGGTCCCCCACACCATGTGCCCCTCACCGGGACCAGGACACAGCCCTGCCCTCTTGCCCTGCTCCCCACAGGTGCTTGGGAGCTACACTTCCCCTCCAGGGAGAGACCTGTAGCAGCTCTCTCCGGCCAGGAGCATCAAGGACCACAGGGAGGGTGCACGCCCCAGGGCCACAGGATCCATTAGGGCCCAGCGAGGCCCTTGCCAGACCCTCAGGGGTCGGGTGGGCCGGCTAGCCACAGGGCCGGGGCTGGCCAGGCCTTTGGAGGAAGCTGTTTAATTACTAGTGAAAGCCCTTCCATTAGGGAGAGAAGAAAAACCATAATTGTATTTCAGAGAAGCCATTTACATGCAAACGAGGCCCTGGCAGACAGAGGCGGGTGGCTGCCCAGAGTGAGGGCAGGGCTGATGAGCTGCCTTCCCGCAGGCAGGCGAGCCAGATCCCTGCATCTCCCCTGACTGGGCCCAAAAGACTCCAGGCACACACCATGGTAGAGCCCCTCGGGAGTCCAACCTGGAGCAGTGTTCATCCTAAATTGGAAATGTGTGTATGTGTGTGCGCGCGCGTGCGCATTTGAAACTGGGTCTTGTGTTGCTCAGGCTGGCCTTGAGCTCTTGTCTGGGTTCAAGTGATCTTGATCCTCCTGCCTCAGTTTCTCTGGAACAACACCACAGCCTGGGCTTGAGGACTAATTTAGCTGGTAACCTTGAAGCAGTCATAAACCTCTGAACCTATTTGTGTGTATAAAGAGAAATCTAATGGTGACCAGAGTGAGTTGGTATGGCGATATGAGCCTTGAATTTTAGCTGTAATTATTTTGTGAAAGGACTTCACTGTACATTTTTTTAAAAAAATGTGTTTGGCACATGGTCTCACTACACAGCTTGGACTGGTAGTGACCCTCCTGTTTTCAGCCTCCTCAGTACTGGGATTACAGGCGTGCACCACCATGCCTGCCCTCCCCACCCCACTGCAACAGGGGGTGGGGCTAGCATGGAATGTGGTGCCAGGGATTGAACCCCAGTCCCCGCACTTGCCTAAGCAGGAGCTTAGTCTGCTGAGCCATCTTGCAGGCCCTAGCTGTAATTATTTTAAACAACGTACCACAAGAAGTTACGTAAACAAAAATAAATTTTTTGAGATAGATGCCTGAACTTGCTATGTAGCGTAGGTTGGCCTTCAACTCTGTGATCAGCCTGTCTCAGCCTCTAGAGTATTGGGATTATTGGTATGTACCACCATAATTTGATTTGGGCACAAATAAAATTTTTTTTCAAATCAAATTTTTAACAAATTAATTTTTCTGGATGCACCTTTGAGTTTTATAATCCACAGGTTGAATGTGGGTGCTAGGAAAAAAGCCCAAGAGATGGCCATCAGTTCTCAAAGGTATAACTAAGGCCAGAGGCCAGGCTCACGCAGATAGTTTTATCACACCCAAGAGTAGACCTCAGGTTACCTAATTCTAGTTTGGTGGTTTCGCCTGTCTTTAAAAATTTTTTTAGATTTTTGACACAGGGTCTCCCTCTACTCACTATGTAACCTAGGCTGGTTTTGAACTCACAGAGATCCTCTTGCCTTAGCCCCCAAAAGTGCTAGGATTACAGGTGAGTGCTACTACGCCTGGCATTTTTGTCATATTTTTTATCCAGGTGGAATGACAACCCTCCAGGTATATGCAGTTTAAAATTCCTTAACTGTCCACTCTAACACACTGGTGGTAGAGGCCAGTGAGATAACTCAGCAGACTAAGCGCCTGCTTAGGCAAGAGCAGGGACTGGGGTTCAATCCCCAGCACACACGCTATGCTAGCCCATCACTATGAGCTATATAGTGAGACCCTGTACCAAGTACATTAAAAATATTGTCATTTTTGCGACAGGGTCTCACTATGTAGTTCAGGCTGGCCTTGAACTTACTGTGTAGCCTAGGATGGCCTTCAATGCAAAGCAGTCCTCCTGCTTCAGCCTCCCAGAGTCACACAGCAAGTGAATACCCGCACCCTTCCGAGCTGTGGCTGAGGCTACTAGTTCTCCAGTTCTCTCTTAGGCTCCCTCCCGGCAAGCAGGGTCAGCCCGCACATCTCAGGGGTGGCCCACCCCGGTCACCACTCACTTGAGGGACAGGGAGAAGTCATTCTTGCTGGTCTCGCTGTTGCGCACCAGGTAGCTGGCCTCCTTGCACAGCCGCAGCAAGTTCTCGGCATCGGTCCGGCTGATGGCCCCGTGGTACCAGCTGGGATGACAGGAGGGGACAGAGCAGGGATATGCTTCGGTCCCGGCCCACCCTGCAGGGAAGACAGGCGGCCCTGGCAGAAGGACGCAGACACTCACACCTGGTCTTCCAGCGGCAGTGCGGGGTCTGTCCATTCGCCCAGGGGGCTGCCAGGCTCGGTGCCCAGGGGTTTGGTTGGTTTGGGGGTCACTGCAGGGAGCCGGGGAGGTGGTCGCCCCTTCTCCTCCCGGCCAGGCGACAGGCAGCTTTTCTCTGATCCTTCAAACTGGGCTGCAGGGGACACAAGGGTCAGGGACTCCGGGGGTCTCAGACAACACTGGCAGCTGTGGGGCCCCCTCCATCATGCTGGGTAAGGGTTGTGCAGCCCCCAGTGGGGCTAGGCCTCCTACACCAAGAGCCCAGGGCCGGCCCTCTGGGAGGCAGCTGCCCAGGAAACCACTTAGCGTCCCCCTCAGGAGCTGCCCCTTCAGCCAGCAGCCTTGTACCCCCTCGGGTGGCTTCAGCGCTGATAATATTGTTTCTTTCTCCTCCTCAGAGTTCATTACCGTTCTCCAAATCACCCTGCCAAGCCATTCTGCAGAAATGACTTATCGATCGGAGAACAATTACCCAATTCCCCTGGTGCCATCCTGACAGGCTAATCCTGCCCATGCCGCCAGACGGCCGCCCGCCCTCCCAGCCCTTGGCCGCTGCCCACTGCCCCTCCCAGGGGACCCGGAGGGGGCTCTGTCTGCCCTCCCAAGCAGAGGAGCCTGCCAGCTGCTGCCCCAGCAGGTCCCAGGCCCAGAGGCACAGGGGCAGTCTCTCCTCCATCTGCATTTACACCACACCTGGCTCTTGGACATTAAGCACCCACTGATGCCCTGAGACAGGGCTGAAGGCAAGAGGACATTAGGAGCTTTCTCCCTGTTCTCTCCTTCACTTGTTTTTAAAAGATAGGATCTCACTGTATAGCGCAGGCTGGCCTCAAACTCACTGCGATCCTCCTGCCTCTGCCTCCTGAGTTCTGGGATTACAGATGTGCACCACCATGCCTGCCTGGCTCTTTACCACTTTCAAGCCCTTAGAGTCCTGCAGTCATGGGACGCAGGGACATATGCTCTCCACGCATGTCAGCGGCTTCCTGAGCCAGCTCCACTCCCAGCCTTGTGCTGTACTGGCAAGCACAGCTCTACCCAGGAACAGACTTAAAATAGTGTGTTTGCACTGGCTGTGGTGGTGGACACCTGTAACCCCTCCTTCCCGGGAGGCTGAGCCAAGGTCAGCCCAGACTGGGCTACTTAGCAAGAGTGAGTCTCAGTAAAAAATACACAAGGAGCTGAAGATATAGCACAGGATGAAAGCCTAGGTTCAATCCCTAGTACTGAAAACAAAATAAAGTAATAGGTGGAATTTGGTGGTGTAGTAACTCATATTCTGTCCCTTCCCGCACCCTCCTGGGTGAGTGCGTTTCCTTTCCTAGGCCTGCCCCAGCCTCTCGGTTCTTCTCTAGGCCAAGTCCACAGGGGCAAGAGGACCTGTCGCCTTGGACAGAAGCCCCCCCAGGACCCACCGCTGCTGTCCTCCAGATTGGGCTCAGGGAGGGGTGAGGCTGGACCGGAGATGTCCCTGTCCCCATCAGGCAGGGAGGGGCTGCTGTCCAGCTGTCCCACGGGCGGAGGCCAAGGTAGGTCTTTGATGACCTTTATGTCAACTGGAGCCAGCAGCAGAAGGAGAAGAAAGACAGTGACAGAGACAGAGACAGAAAGAGGCAGAGGTTGAGACACAGGACAGGTGAGGCAGGAGTGGCAAGAGCAGGCCAGGCGGGGCTGCTGCCAGTCAGTCACAGTCACAGTCACAGGTGGGAGGCATGGGCGGGACACTCTCACAGCTAGTGGTCCCTTCTTTGCACATCCCCCAGCCCTCGAAGAAGGAAAGAGAAGCAGGACTGGAGCCACCCAACCCCCTGGAGCCACTGCCTGCCTCCCCTCTGCCCACCCGGGGACCCAGACAGGAAGCATGGCCTCTGGCTGTCAGTATGGTATGGTACAGATGGTGCAGACCTGCAGACAGGCAGACAGGCCAGGGCCGATGCTTTATTGAAATTTAGTGCCCCATCACTGGAAGAGTGACGCTGCGGGCGGCTGCAGGACTGCTAACGAGGTTTCCTAATGACGGGCATAGATTTTCCCATTAAGCAATCCAAACAGTATTGATTCTGCAGGAGATAAACGGCCATCCGCATCCCTGCCCTCGTGTGCTGCGTGCGCTTACGGGAAGCCAAGGATGGGCTGTGGTTTCCGGTCTGGCTGCCGAGCAGGCAGCTGGCAGAGGGCTTGGGTCGGCTGTGAGCTGTGCTGGACCTAGCTTGGGATGGACAGCGGGACAGGGGATGGCTGGCCCTCACTCGGTGGTAAGGAGCCACAGAGCCCTGGTGTGCCACGCCCTCCACCAGGAGACACAGCCCAGGGCTTGGAGCCACACACACACACACACACACACACACACACACACACACACACACGTGTGCGCACACACATGCACCCACGGCTGCTGCACTAACGTGTTAAATGTCTCGGCCTATACTCACCTGCAAAAGCTTTGGAAATCCTCCCCTTCTTCCACTCCCAGGGCTGGTCGTACTCCTCGGGGGGCCTCTCATCATCCTCAGGCAGGCGGGACTCCCGAGGCCAGGGGGCAGCCTCACCCTCAGGGGTGGGGGCCTCCTCATCTGGCTCATAGGGGGTGTCGTACAGAGGCAAGGGCTGGGTGGCTGGCTCCTTGGAGCCCCGGATCTCTGCCAGGGCAAGGACAAGGGAGAGGTACGGACTCGACCAAGACCTGAGGCCACGGCCTGGGCTCCAGAGAGCCCAGAAGCCATACTTCCTGGGCTATCGCCCTCAAAGCTACTGTGGGCTGCACAGGTATGGGTTCTATCCTGAGAGAATAGAAGGGAAAGGGAAACCTCCAAAGCAAACACTTAAGGGCTCTTAATCCCAGAACACAGGAGGCTGAGACAGGAGGATCACAGTGAGTTCAAGACCAGCCTGGGCTACACATAGCCAGACCCGGTCTCAAAAAGAAAAATAGAAAGGGTCCCATGACACACAGTGACGGGTGAGCAGCTGAAGTTGACAGGTCTTAGGGGACTGGGTACTGTCTCGCACCCCCCCCCCATATCCTACTGCCCAGCTCTCTATGTCCTGTGTCCCCACTGCTGTCACTGCATGCTTGGGGCCATGCCCCCTGGAAGCCTGCCTCTCTTCTAAGCCAATGTCTGGATGGGTCTTCTCCCTGCGGTCCCAAGGGCTTTCCTGCACCCTCCCAGGCTGTCATCTTCATCCTCCCTACCCTGGCCCATGACTTCGCCTGGTCTCCTGACACTGCTGGTATCTAGATCTCTAGCTGTCTTCCCACTGCCAAGAAGTGCCCCCCCATGACACATGATGCCTTCCCACGTATCAGCTTCTACAGCTGCTAAAGTTTTGGCACCACTAGCCCCGAAGTGAATCCGATGACCAGTGAGCCGTAGAAAGTGGCCACCTCTCCTCCTCCAGTCCTGCCCTCCACACAGCCCCTTTGGACCTGACCCCACATGGTTCTCTGAACCCCATCTGTCCCTTGCTGGCACGTGATGACTTCCACCCCCTCAGCCCTGTCCAGGGCTGCGTGGAGCAATGCTCCATGGGCCTCCGCCCCCTTCTCCAATTGGCCAGCGGTGCTCCTTCTCCCCACATCTGCCCTTCTTCCTTCTGCCTGTCTTTTCCCTCCTTCTGAGGCTGCAAACAGCCTGCTCCCAGCAGAGGCCACAGCCTCCCATCTGCCCGAGCCTGAGCGGGCGAGTTCGGTTCTGCAGCACAGAAGCACAGTGGGGCGGCACTGCTGAGCACCTAGTTCCACGCCCCGTGCTTCCTGTGTCTCATTTCTCAACTATCTCCAAGCTCAGGAGAGGAAGGAGGATGCCTTACTTACTGGCCCCTGACGATTCCCAAATTTGCTAACAAACAAATAGTCTGACCCTCCCGAGCTCTTTGTTTTCATCGCTGCTTTCGGAAGACTGCCTCTCCACCTCCGGTGCAGTCCTGCTATCCTGGCACTTGCTGTGTGCTCAGGCTGGCCTTCAGTGCAGTCTTCCGAGAGCTGGGATTGCAGGTGTGCACCCTGTGCCCGCTTCTAACTTCCCGATGCCCAGTTCTTTAATCCATTCTGTACACAAAGGCCTTAGTACGCCTCTTAAAATGCCACATTTATCCTTTCATGTTCAGGAATCGGGGACAGGCCCACACACCATTTGGAGCAAGCCCAAATGCTTCGCTGCAACTTTTGAAGCCCTTGCCTGTGTGTCCCACCTTCCTCAGCTGCCAGGTACACCAGCACCAACATCAACTGCCTGGGCCAGCCCGGGGTAGGGAGTGGGGGCTCAGGAAGCTGACACCCTCGCCCCGTTGAATCTGTTTCTAGTGTTTCTTAGTGCAGTAAGGATGTCTCCCCTTGATATAACAGCAATGTTCTGAATTCATGGCAGCGCCCCAGAGCTAGCGACTGTCTTTCGGGGCCCTGGACTCCTGGCCCACACCCCTGTGTGCCCTGCCAATCTCCAGTGCTTCTGTCTGACTTTTGGTTGTGAGGCGTCCTATAAATCAAGCTCCTCCTCCAAAGTGACCATCTTAATTTTTTTTTTTTTTTTTTTTTTAATTTTAGGGAAGGGTAAAAGTGACTACCTTGAAAGCTGTGGCCGCCCTCAAAAGGGCCTGGCAAAGGGATTCGCCCGTTTTCTCGGGACCTAAGCACATCATCCTGAGAGCTGCAGGTCCCAGAACCTGCTCTACGGACCCCTCCCCTGCACCCATCACTCACCAGCCATCATCTTCTGGGCCTCGTAAGGCTCCATGTAGCCATCGTTTTCGGGGATCTTCTCTGGGGCCCCTGAGGCTGCTGCTGAGCTTTCTCCAGTCTCCTGGACATCAAACGGATCTGCGTAGTCTTCTAGGATGGCCAGCTACAGGGAGAATGGTGAGGAGAGTGAGCTTCAGATGGCAGAAGGGGTGCTCTGCTTCTCCTCAAGCTGTCCACAAGCAGGAGTCCTGGGTCAGCCTGGACCAGAGCCCCGAGCCCAGGGCAACTCGGAGTTCACACGGGAGCCAGCTCTGGCTCTTTGCAGCCCTGCCAAGGTGTCCATCTTTCTCTCCCCCTAAATGCGGGTCCCTGGGCTGTGTCTTCGGCCGCATGGCCTGCCTGGGGGTTCCCACAGGACAAGCACCCACTCCAGGTGGGGCGTGGTCTTGCCTTGCCCTCCAGGCCCTGCCTTCTCCCAAAGATGGGCTTCTGGCCACCCCGTCTGTCCCGCACCCGCACAGAGCTCCCCACAAGCCACACACCCTGCAGAGGCGCCCAAGGTGCTCAGGGCGGGCTGGCTCAGCACAAAGGAGCCTTTCTCTAAGCTGGGCACCACCTTTTTGGGGGTGGTGACAGCAGTGCACACAGAGGGCCGCTCACCCGGGGCCTCCAGCACCGGGGCTTCAGGCAAGGTCTGCTCTTGCCTTTCCCCACCTGAGCCTCCCTGCTTGGACAACTGCCACCTCCCATGATCCGGTTACCACCACTGTGTCATCCACCCTGGAGCTCCTCGTCCTGGACACTCCAGCTCAACAGGCAGCTGGCACGCAGCAGGCCCTAGAAAATGCTCCCAGGCATCCCTAGCGGCCGCCCTCAAAGCCTTCACCCCACTGCTCCTGGCCTCAGCCCCAACCCTGAGCAAGGGGCTCTGGAGCCCGCCCCTGCTGGGGCTTTAGCCTCACAAAGCTCCTCAGTGCTCGGAGAAAAGGCCCAAAGTTAAAGAGACTCACGACTCCCCTCTCCTGCTTGGTTTCTCTCTACCTGCCTGGGACTGTGTTCCCAAGAAGCTCAATTGTCTGTCCTTGATCCTATTGCTTTCTGGACACCTCCTGCCAGCCAAGCTTCCCTGACCCACGGCCACCTCCAAAACCCGAGTGCACCCCTCCCTGTGGGCACCTGTCTGGCCACCCACACGGAGGAGGAAAACAGACATCAGGAGTGTCATTCCTGCTCATTCAGAAGCAAGTGGAAGCTTGGTGTGGAGCCCCTGGGGGACCAGGTGAGGCCCTGTTCCCAGAGGCTCCTACTCCTCGACTCCACCCTTCCCACTGCCCCAATCCCCTCAGCCCCTCCTCCCCTCCTCTGGCCTGGTCAGAGCCACAGGAGGTGCACCCCACCTGTGTCTAGACCCAGACCCCTCACAGGCCAGTAGGCCTCCTGTGCCAGTCTGCAGTGCCAGCCTGCAGTGCCCACGGGCAGCCAGGTGGCAGCTCAATGGCTCCTCTGTTCCACTCCTGGGTCCACCCCCTGCTCCAGGAAGCCTTGGCTCTTGCCCTGATCACTGCCCGCAATGCCCAGGAAGGCCGGGGGCCTGGCACCTGCCCTGCACCTGCTGGACCCAAGCCGACCTACGCCAGGCTCTCCAGGGCTTCCAGACCTGAGAGAACGACCAACCACTCAGGGAGGCGGCTCTCCAGGCCATGGGCCCCTCAAAGCTGCCAGGATTTGCTGTCTTGTTAATGATCATGTGGCCCCCACAGCCACGTCCACCAGGATCTGCAAGAGCAGCCTTCAGCTAGGGAGATGGCTCAGTGGAATAAGTACTTGCCTGGCAAGTACAAGGGCCTGAGTTCCAACCATGGTTCAAAAAAAAAAAAAGAGCAGATCTCAGTGGGTCCTACAAGGCCTCCTCCTCCAACCCACACACCACCTCAGGAGTGACCCACACTTCCAGACCCTCATCCCCCCGCCTCCGCCCCCTGACTGACCATCAATGGCCACAGGATCAATGTGTGAAGAGGATCCAGGCCTCAGCCCTGGGCAGAAAGCCTGTCAGCCAAGGGCCTTCAGGGGACCCTAAGGCCAGGCTCCAGGTGCTGCACTGCTGGAACACAGCTGAAATGTGGAATTACTCCCAAACGGGGGCGCCCTGACCCCGTCTGTCCCCCGTGCCACCCAGCAGCCAGCTCCTGGACCCTATTCCACATCTGTTCAACTGGGCAGCGCCCCTAGGGCAGCGTCCCTCTGATCTGTTTCCTGCATACAGCACTCCTGAGGCCAGCGCGTGGGCGCTGGCAGGTCCTCCCCTCGGCAGTGGGCCGCACAACCTGTCCCCAGCCATCCCCGAGAGACAGGGAGGGGGCTGGTGTTTCAGAGGTTGGCTCCGCAAGGCGCCCAAACTACAGCTTTAGCTTATGTTTCAGGTCTGGAGACTTCTGCCTTCCTCAGCTGCAGAGTGAGGTGGACTCGAACTCAAGTCAGAGAGTAGGGAAAGGAAGACAAATGGAACAGCAACAGTTCTCTAACCACGGTTTCTGCTCAACACCAGAGGCTCTGAGTGATAATCTGTGTAAGACCTGTGGGGGGCCCACAGCGGGTCAGAGTGGGACTCAGGTCTCCTGACTCCCAGGGTTCACACATTTCCCCCAAATTTAGGAAACGCTGTATCTTCTCTACTGTCCTGTGGATTACATATTGTACTTTATGGCTAGTGATGTAGCTCAGTGACAAGGGCTTGCCCAGAATGGCAAGACCTCGGGTTCAAGACTCAGCACCACACCCGCACTCGCGCAGAGGGACCACCCCAAGGTTTGCTTACTTCAGTATCTCCCCAAGTGATCAGGCACGGAAGTCCTTTGTCACTGAATGCCTAGCAAGTACCCAACCCGTCTGAGGAAGGGAAGGCTGCTCACCTTTCCAGAGTCAAACTTCCGGCGTGGGCTGCTCCTCGTTATTGGGACACCCTCGCCTGTTTTCTCTGCCTGGGAAACTCCTCTGACGTGACATGTGTTGCTTTTGTTTCCTTTTCTAATTAGAGTGCAATTCCATGCTTACAAAGGAGTCATCACACATGACAAGTGTGGGGCAACGCTGCCCCTTCTAAGGCCCTCGGGTGATCTGTGACTGCCTCAGGATGGAGGGGTCAGAAGGGATCCCCAGGGGCTGGTGAGATGGCTCAATGGCTCATTGGTCTAAAGCACCTACTCAGAGCAAGCTTAGCAAAGCACAGGGACCGCGGTTCGATCCCCCAGCACCACATGCCAGCCAGCCCTGCCCCGTGGTGGGCTGAGTTGGCCACACACACACACACACACACACACACACAATTTTTTTTTTAAAAAAAAGAAGTGATTCCCAGCATGCGGTGGGATCCACACAATGCGCCCCTTGGCCTTTTCCTGGGCCTGCCTCCTCCTACTCCTTAGCAAACGGTTCCTGGACACCTCTCTGATAGGCGCAGGTAGTTTGGGGAGGAGGGCAGGCATAGTGTTGTCTGGAATCAGGGCACAGGGCTGTGGACCTCCACTGTGCTACCTGCTGAGAAACCATGTGAGCTTGGTTCAACAGTCCCATGCCTCAGTTTCCCTATGAAGTAACAGGGTGGTTTCAAAGATCAACAGGTCTAACACATCAGCTGCTTCAAAGTAGTACCAGGCCAAGATAAATGTCAGCTACTATGTTAATTCAAGATGAAAAGAGGTCAGGTATGGTGGCTCAACCTATAGTCCCAGCTCTCAGGAGGCTGAGGCAGAAGGATTGTCATGAGTTTAAGGCTAGCCTGTGCAGGTACTTTCAAACATCTGTACTGACAGGACTTACTCAGCTCAACCTGCACCTCCTGCCTACAGTTCCCAGGGTCTCAGCTGTCACCAGCTCACACATGCAGAGTGCCAGGGCTGAGCTGGGGCTCAGTCAGGCACTATCCAAGCCAACAAGTGCAGTAGATGTCTCCCGGCAGAGTGAGGGCCACTATGCTGGGCAAAGTGGACAGGTCACCCACACGATCCCCCTAGGTACCCATAGGCCACAGCTCTCCTCGAAGCACCAATGGTAGCACGTGGCCAGGTCGGGCTACAGACAAAGAGCTCCAGTCAGTGCACAAAGATTCAAGACCTGGCCTCCTCTGTTGCCTCTACTTCCTCAGACTATGCGGGGCCACAGGAAGGAAATCAAAGCTACTCACACCAGGCATGGTGGTGCATGCCTATAATCCCATCCCAAGGGAGGCTAAGGCAGGAGGACTGCCACAAGTTCAAGGCCAGGCTAGGCTACACACTGAGTTCAAGGCCAAACAAATCAAGCCAATAAAGCCATTCACAAGAAGCAAGGCCCACACCTTCAAGGAAGAGGGTTCTTTCCACGCCTAGGGCAATGCAAAGATGCACTGTACTGGAAGAATGCTGGCTAGGGAGCTCAGGATGGGAATGCTGTGCTGGACTTTAGACACGGTCTCCCTCACACCCCTCTTCTGTTCTCAATGCTATCTGAGGACTGCAAACTCCACAAGAATCAGGGAGACTACACACCCGAGCCACGTCCACCCTCTGAGCTAAGAGCTCCGGTCTCAACACAGGGCTGTCTTGCTGTCCGTGTCACTTAGCCCCTCCACCAACCACATATCTTGGCATGACAGAGGAGGTAAGGGACACACTGCACAGATGGTCATGGGGAGCTCATCCATCCCCTCCACTAATTGGACCAGGTTTTCCCATTGAAGGTCACTGAAAACTGAGCCGATCAAGGCAAATCCCTGATCCATGGCCCCTCTGCCACACACAACCAGGGTGGCGGGACAAGGCTCAGTGACAGCTGGGCCTGTTCCTGCAGCCAGAAGGCGAGGGACGGCCTGCCCACCGGATGGCACCACTCCTGCTGTGCCCACACCTGCCCTGCCTGGTTACCCAGATGGCCACCCAAGCCCCTGCCAACCACAGTGGGGACAGCAAGAGCCCTGTTTGGCGCACAGCTGAGGGCCCCTGGCCCCTGGACCTCTCAGGATCCTGTCTAAGTCATGCTCTGTCCCCACATTTGCTGGCCTCCTTCTGCACCAATCCCATGGGCTCTGACAGAAGCCCCCTGCACCCACTCACCAACTCCCAACACCAAAGGTGCAGACTCCTCCCCTGAGCTCAGTGAGACCCTGGTCTCTGGGAGGAGACAAGGAAGGCAGCACAGGGCACATGGAAGTCCCCCATCCCCAGGCTCCAGGTCACTTTGAGAGAAGACCTAGAGCCATAGCACAAGGGTCCTGTGGAAGTGAAAGAAAGGAGGACCCATGGTACAGAAACGGGGGGGCCTGGGAGATGGCTCAGTGGAGTAAGTGCTTCCCTGGCAAGCGCAAGGGCCTGAGTTCAATCCCCGGTTCCACCAAAAAAAAAAAAAAAAAAAAAAAAAAAAAAAAAAAAAAAAAAAAAAAGAATCAGAAACGGCAGGGGCAGCAGCCCAGGCTCAGGGCTGCCAGACACGGGGTGAGCACAAGGTACCAGTGCCTAGCTTCAGCTCTGCCTAGGGAGGACACTGAGATCACCCAAGCTCCAGTCCTAGGGGTGGGAACCCTCTTCTCTATTTGGTAGGGAGCCCTAGGTCAGGAGCATCCTGAGTGTCCCTACCTACGGCCACGCTCGGGTGACATCCAGATTCTTCTCCTCACACCCACTGAGGAAACCACAGACTGATGGTGTGGCTCCCTGGAGAGCCTGCTGGATTTCATTCCTGTGCCTGTGGCGGACAAAGACACCTCTTGTCTATCTCCCAGTTCTGAGCAGCCCACAGTCACAGGGCTGATTCCAGCAAAGGCCTGGCTGTCCTGGTCTGTCCACCTGCTGCACGAGTGCAGCCCCTCCTTGGCTGTCTCTGGGAAAGAACACAGGGGGATCTATGGCTAGGAAGCCCCTCATAGTAGACAACTCTTTGGATGCAGGCATTGTCTTCTAACACCCCACAGGCACAGAGGGCAGGACACACATTCGAGTCCCTGTCCTGGAGGACCCACAGCTGGTGGGCAGTTTGTTAGGCTGCCCTTAGCCAATGCAGAGAGGACAGCAGTCAAAGACAGCTCAGGAGGCCCATCACCAACAGGAGTGGTCGGAGAGGAGAATGAGTGGTAGCAAGGGCCAGGCCTGCACTCCCCTCTGCCAGGCTGCCACCAACACAATCACTGAGGGAGTGGCAGGGGACATGAGGAAGGAGCCCCACAGCCCAGGGAAGTGCCCCTGCGCCCCACTCTGCAGCCAGCCCCAAGAAAGGAAAGAAACATGCATCACATTCCTGAGGCTTCAGCTCCGACCCTGACATAACTCAGTGCCAGGATTCAGACAGCAGCTCTGCTCTAATAAAGACGCGAGCTCTCTCCAGAGGAACTAAGCGCACAGTGGTGAGGGAAGCGCAGGGCCCAGCACAGTGTCAGCAGCTGGACTTACAGCCAGAGACCCTGGGGATGGCTTCCAGCTGTCACTCTGCCAGGCAGAGACAGGCGGTGTCCTGGAGGAGTAGCTGCCTGCTCTCTCCACCACCCCAGTGCCTGCAGCCATGAAGGCTCTCAGAAAGAATGTGTCCTAGGCCTGGGCTCAGCTGGGCAACAGGTTCTGGGCAACTGCCCCCTACTTTGGGGAGACAGGAGGACTGGGCCTGGACGCCTGTGGCCAACATCCTTGACAAGAGCCCTGGCCTCCTAGGAACAGCCCAGCTAGCTTCTGCCCAGGGGGATAAAAACGCAGTCTCTGGCTGTGTCTACAAGGAGAAACCTCGGCCCTCACCTCCTTTCCGGGGCTCCAGCACCTCTGGGGATGCTTGGGATTCAGGAAGAGGGAGAGGAAGAAGAGGAGGAGCGGCAGCAGCGAGGGAAAGCTTCGCTAGGTTCTGCCCTGGGGAAGCGTCAGAGATCAAAGGGTAACAAAGTGCAAGGCACAGAAAGGCCAGAAACCAGCAAGGGTGTGTGTGTGTGTGTGTGTGTGCGCGCGCGCGCGCTCCTCCGTTCCCGTTAGAATAAAGGCTCCAGGATGGGGCTGGGGGCTGCAGGAGGGCAGCGGAGCCCTGGTGGGGAGGGCCATCAGTCTAGGGCCACAGCTAAGGACAGGGATGACATCCAGGGTCCCCTCTCCGATCAGCCAACAGAGAATCCGAACAAAGGTGGGCTCAGACACCGAGCCCCAGGGTCAGCGGCTCCGCTGCTGTCCGCGGGAGCTCGTGACAGCGCCGAGCCGGCTCGGGCCAGGCCACCTTTGTCCCTTGCACAACCTCCAGACTTGCGACCACCTCCCCTGGCAGTCACCCCCGCCCAAGGCACACTCACTCGGTCGCCGCCGGCCGGGGCTCCGGAGATCCGCTCCTCCGGAGGGGGCGCCGGGGGCCCCGGGGTCTCGACCCGGATCAGACGATGCGGGGGTGAGCCGTGGCGCGGGGGCGGCGCGGGTCCGGGGATGGCAGGGGCGGCGAGGGCGGTGGAACCGGACGGGCCCCCGGAGTAGGGGTCCTCGAAGTCGCGTTCCCGTTGCAGTCGGTAGGCGGCCAGGATGTCTGGGGGAGGCGCGGGGGGTGCGGCAGGACAGGGCGCGGGGGGCCGGTAGTCGGGCTCCGGGGGCGCGGGCTTGCCGCCCCCGCCGCCTCCAGCCCCACGGAAGCCTAGGTGCTCCCGGAGCCACTTGGCCACCCCGCCGCTGCCGCCCCCTCCCGGGCCGGCA